GTAAAATTCTAAGCTATTCTAGAAACCAGACTGGTAATTAACATAAAGCTAATAAAGTCCAAAAAAATACTATAAAAATATATAGAAATAAAATTTATTTTATCCGTTATATATGCATATTTGAACCGCCATAATTCGATGATAATCATTTCCTACTTTTTATTTACAAACATATCCGTTTTGCGCTTTTGCTCTATATGCACTTGTATACACCAATTACCTTCTTGTGCATTTATTTACATAAATACCTTCAATGAGAAAGATCAAAAAGAATTTCAATAAAAACGAACGAGTATTACCGGCGGAAATCGAAATTTTATTGCGCTATTTTGTTCTTTTCGTGTATTGCTGTTGTTTTAACGGTATTTCCTATGAAAATATTTACATATGTACATACTCGTTCAAAGAATATTCAAGAGATTCTTTTTGGAGAAATAAAATTCGTGCTATCCGATGAAAAACAATGCATTTAATTTATTCAAAATGTGCGTATGTATATATTTACATACATATTTATGTATAAAGGTATATTTGTTTATATTATACTCATATCGAAGTAGAAAGAAAGATGAACACGAAGAATTTTCATTTAGAATTTCCCTTTCCTTTATGAAGTATTTTTTTCTTTTACTTTTTAACTTTTGAAGATCTTAAATTTAATGAACTCCTTCTACATTCTGGGTAGGCGAAGTGAGGTTTTCCTATTTTATGAGGATATTGGGTAACAATTCGCATGTCATGAGAGTTCTTGAAGTTCGGGAAAAACTCATTTAAACCAAAACATTGAATTTTACAACTTTATGTCTAGTAAGTAATTTAGTATGTCAAGGATTTAGTAAGGTTTTGAGTTGTCGTTATTTGCAGGAGGCTAATAGTCCCCAAACTCTGGGGCAACAAAATTTCTTTAAATCGCAGTATGTAACCAAGACAGAGAAATCAGATAAAAGCCATAAAAACTATTTTGTATAGTAATTCTAGTTAGCAAAAGTGTCATGATTTTTGGTGAATTTTAACTTACTGAAGTTAGGGTGGTACGTTAGGGTGATATGAACTGAGATGCCTTTCTTTACGTGCCGAAAATCCCAGGATTATTTGCCAAGAATCCCAGGATTTTCGGGATTTGTAATTTGCAATGGTAGCAATAATAGAAACGCTTTATGTTGACCAGTTTTCGTTATATTTCTTTTGTTTATTTAATATTTAATATTTTTTATAAAGGTCTAGCTAATTATACATACACATAACCTCGAGCGACAGGCAATTTTACACACACAAAATTACAAATATATTCCTAAAGCCATGGGCTAAATATATGCAGTAAAATTGCGATTTAGTTTTTCTCTCTGACGCCAGGATTTTTTAAAAGATGTACTTAGGAAAATAGTATCGATATCAAATTGAAGGGAAAATGCTGTAGAGAAAGAACAGATTAGATGTTTTGGTGCATAATGTCCTTAAAAATTTTATCCCTAAATATCCTTGAAATTTTGTAATATTTATTTTGAAAAAATTATATGTTTATTACTAATATAAACTCGACAACTTCCTCGAATATAGTCCTAACTTTATTAGATAAAAAAATAAAATTAAAAAAGGGCATTTTCAATAAATATTCGTCCTTGTGAACCCAAAATATGTTACAGAAATTTCTCTTTCATTTGGTACCCATTTTTATTCTACATTGCACTGAGTTTTTTAAATAATTTTAGGATTTATCATATCTTTGAAATTATAAAGTTCTAATAAAAAAAAAAAATTTAGACTAAAAACGCAGTTTTACTATATAGTTTCGTGAGTATATGGATTGCTTGGTGTGTTTTGAAATGCTTTTGTTTCAACCTGTTTAATCTTTTTACTTAGAATTTTTAGAAAAATTCTAGGCACGCAATTTTATAAGAATAGCCGCTTAAATTACAAGACGATAAAGTGCAAGTTTCCAGTGACTAAAAGTAACGATGATTTTTTATAATTTTTTTGCTGGCGGTGTCAAACATTTTCTTCCATACAAAGTATGTTCGACAATTTGTTTATATGGAAGAAAATGCCCAGCTTCGTTTAAAAAATTCCAAAAATCAACGGTATTTTGTAACTGTATGAAACTAGCATTTTATTATACTTTAATTTAAAGGGCTATAAGGGCTGCGTACCTCAAATTTTTCTAAAAATGCTAAGTAAAAATTTTGAAATTTTCGCAAATTTTTTTGAAGTTTTATAATTTTTGTACACATTTTGAAATGAGGTATACTTTTATAAAGAAAATTTAAATATTGAATAAACAAAAGAAATATAGACTAAACTGGTTGAAATAAAGCGTTTCTTTTTATTTTTGCCACTAGTATTATGAACTTCTTTCAGCCACACAATACATACATATGTATGTTGACTTAAGTTTTTTTTGCATCGAGTTTTTTTTGGCATGCCTCAAGTTACTTTATCAGAAATGTATACGCCAAAGTATTGTTAAATGCGTATATACTTATTTGCTGTCTTTTGTTTTGTTACTAATGGAATATTTTTCAACTTAAATAATAAAGTAGATTTCAAACCCGTTTATTTATTATTTATTATATAGTTGGACAGCTTCTCAAACTATATCGATGCAATTTTTTCTTGTTAAGTTGTTGAAAAATAATGAATACCTGGGATCCCGCAATTATATGTTCGATGCCCCGAAAGTGCTGGGATCGCAAAAATAGGAAAAATTAACATCCCTAGTAGTTACTAGAATAGGCTACTTGAGGTCCATCAACTTTGGAACAAAATAAATGGTTGGTGTTGGTTGATTTTTCCGACTGATTGTCTCCACGAGAAAAGAACATCGGGCGGTCAAAAGTTATGCGGTAACATACATTAAAAAAAAAAGAAATATTCCGACGATTTAATAACCTTCTCCTCTTTTGAAGTCGGTTAAAAATTAATCTTATTTATAAAAAACTCGATTTTTTGAGTCATTTTCATATTGGCCTAGCTTATGTAAATTGTAATATCCTTCCGAAATATTTTGACGTAAGTCGTAAAATAAATAAATTTTATAATTCCGATGGAAAAACAGTACCGATTTTTTATTTTATTTTATTTTATTTTTTTTTGTATGGGGAGTGATGCACCCTAACTATTAGATATATACGCGTTCAATTTTCCCTTGCTTTTTAAGCAAATTTTGGCTTTTTTAATTTGGTTTAAATTCACATATAAGGGCCAAGTAAAAAGTATTGCCTAACTAAACATATAAGAAACAAGGGTCTTTTTCTTTTGTTTACCAATCTTATTTGCTTTGATTACCTCTAATAAGGTTTTACTATATAATTATGTATTTTTGCTTCGCCGCCTCGCATAATCGATTATGCACACACACCTCAGTTACGCTTTACCCTGCTCATGTACATACATATATATGTATTTATGTTCGTCAATTAGTTCAAAGTACTAGCTACTTCTGAGCTGCTCGCAACTTTTCGACTAAGAACATTCCATTACTAATACGCCTAGGTGGGCGAAGTTGTCCACACGCCAAAAATAGGGGGGCGTAAAGAATTTCCATACTGGGAACAAAGCAGCAGCACGTGCAACTTAGTTTTTCACACCGATAGTAACTTGCACCGCGTGGTTTTACTTTTCGCTTGTAATCCCAAGTGAGCGCCAGGGGCAATCTTACAATTGCATGCCTTTACTTTAAAATCTTAGAGTCTTACAGTGGCTACCCTTCGAAATTTTTCTATATATGGATATATGTATGTATGTATGTAAATATTTTTCTGTTTCTTCAACAACGCCCCCTTCTTTCTTGCTTTCGTTTATGCTAGAACGCATTTTCCCACACTTTTGCTTAATTTAATTTTAGTTTGCTTATTTTTTCGTTTCTTCATTGGCGAACTCCTCTCAGCCAACACTTGTGGTGGGCGTTACGCTATGATTTTCCTTACCTTCATTACTTTTCATTTAGAGTATAAGTATTCCACCAGTGAATTCTTTGCAGCGGCTGCTCAAGCGTGTATGAACAAAGGTGTAGATGATGTTAGAAAATATACATTTACTTTGAGCATCTTTGTTATTGTTTCCGCTTCGCTGTACTACTAGCAATGTGCTATTTAGTGTTTTGCTTTACTCTTCTTCTCTTCTTCTCTTTTGGCATGTAACAATATTTTAATTAGCCTTAAAATTATGCAACGCATATGATTGGCATCAAATGGCAGTTGGGAGTAGCGGAACAAGGAATATGCAAAGTTTCGGTGAAAATATGTATTTTTTAGCAAAGTGTAAGGAGAAATGTAAAAATTTGATTGTGAAGAAAATTTTTTAAAGGTTTTCATTTAAACTAAGAAACGTTCAGAAATCGGACAAAATCCGGAAACTTTCGTTAAGCATTAAAAACTTGTGCACATAAGGAAATATGTTTGAGTGAAAAATATTTATAGCGATTTCGACAACGATAGAAATAGCGACACTAAAAATCCTCGATTTGTATGCTAAAAAATTACAGGAATAGAAATACCTGTATTACAATATTGGATATTTGCTTAAGAGGGCTTCAAGGGAATCAAAAACAAATTTAATTCGAAAATATTTCTAAATGAGGTTGTCACCTGTTGAACAAGTTTAAATTAATTTAAATATTTCAATGTGGCTATCAAACGGGAAAGGTTTAAAGAAAACTTTTTTCGAAAATGTTTTTGAAATGGTTGCCACCTCTGGGTGTCAAATGAGTAAGGGCGTTTGTTTCAAAAATATTTTTGAAGAGGGTTGCCACTTTTTTATGACTTCAAAATCTATTTAGTGAACGAGTAAAACGAAATGCATGCATACATATTTAATTATGTTTATCAAACGAGAGACATTTAAGTAAGTTTTATTTAAAAAATTATTTTGAAATGGATTTGAAGAGGACTAGCGCCAACCGTTTAACCACCACCTAATCGATGGTATTCTTAAGATAATTCATTACATTCGCTCTAAAATAAGTACATTCATATTCATTAAAATCATTTTATTTTTTATTTTCAGAATGACTATGACATGCGGCTATAATAACTGTAAGTAGAAATTTGATATTTGAATAAAAATTGTTAATTTAAGAATAGTTATGAAAATATTGGCTTTATTTACTTGAATTTTGGTACATACATACATACATACATATTTTTAAATTTGGAATTTTTCGATGTTCTGAAATGGTTGTTTCTTGTAACTAGATCTCTTTAGGATATATATGTATGAGGTAGCTACTTCGACCTAACCTAATCCAGCCATGCTGTTAAAACGTTTAGATAAATTTTCTTCTTAAACACACCTTCGTTCAGGTGAAACTATTTGGACTTTTTTTACTTTGATAGGTAACAAATAATGAACTTTTAACTCCAAGAATTTAGAACATTTTATTTATTTTTTTAAGCATAAAACTTGCTACTAATAGCAGTTTTGTATTACTAAAAACACTTAAAATTAGCTGCTATTTTTCGTAAAAAAACTTTAATTTTTCTATCACTGTTTTAATGCCTTGTATTCTAAAACACAATAATAAATATGTTTAGCCACAATGCACTTAAACCCTCAAAATAGAAAAAAGAAAAAACCCTTTTGAAAACTAAGCATCATAATTAATGACGTTGAAATTTTCAACCGGCTACTCAAACTGCTGTTGCCAGATTCCCCCAGGCAGACTAAAGATGGCTAATTGCAAATGAATAGAGCCAAAGCAGCGCAATGGAATTAGAGCTGATGGACGATAAAAAAGTAAGGGGGAGGACGAGTAGTTACGAGTATAATTGCCATTTCATTGCGGCTTGGTCAAAAGAAGTTTGGCGAGTTGCACGTGTTTTACCATCATTAATATGATGGAGTTGCGATGCCGAACACGAAAACAACAAACATACAAACGATCACAGTAGAAGGCATAGCTTACCAAGTTGAAGAGGAGCTTGGAAAATATGAAGAAGAAGCTACACGCAATATTATATGTACATATATACATATGTACTTGCTACACGCACTGCGGAGATGGAAATACAAAATGAATATAGTTAGCAACAAAAGACGGTTGAAATTAAAAGAATAGTAAGCTTAATCAAATTATAAAAAATTGCTAGTTGAAAAGAAAAAAAATTCTAAACCAGAAATTTGTGGTTTTTGACTGGATTATAGTGATTTGCATGCATACATACATATGTACATGAAGTCCAAGCTTCATATGTAAGTAGCTGAAACAAAAATGGGCATTGCTTACCAAGTCACAACATCAACCGGGAGGAACCTGCCTTTGGACATTAGGCTGGGTCACGAAAGAAAATACATATTTGTATTACAAGCACTGCCGCCTCTAACTTCTAGGAAATTTTAATGTACTAAATATAAACATCCGTCTTAGCTATTATTATGGATGCTATACATACATAACGGGTGATTTTTTTGAGGTTAGGATTTTCATGCATTAGTATTTG